CATGTGATCTCACCCAAGATGATTTGCTGAATAACTTTCTCTGGTACCAAGGTCAGGCTGATAGGCCTGTAGTTCCCTGTATCCTCCTTACACCCCTTCTTGTAGATGGGAATCATATCGGCAAGCCTCCAATCCTCTTGGACCTCTCCAGATAACCAGGAGCACTGGTATATGGTCAAGAACGGTTCGGCAATCATTTCCGTCAGCTCCCTCAGCGTCCCAGAATGAAGCCTGTCCAGTTCCACGGACTTGTGACAGTCCAGATGCAGGAGGGTCTCTCTGTCTCCACCAGAATCATAGCATATAGCATGCATAGCATCCCTGATTTCCATATCAGGGCATAAAGTGCCCTGGACTTATCAGAGGATAACTGATCTGCCTATTAAAGGCAGATATAAAGAAGGCGTTGAGGACCTTAGCCTTTTCCTTATCCTCAGTGATCACATTCCCCGCTGTATCAAGAATAGAAATTCTCCCTGGTTCTTTTCTTACTGTTATCTTACTGATATTTTTATAAAATGATTTATTCTCTTTTACAGCAGTGGCCAATCTGAGTTCCAGTTGGGCTTTTGTCCTCCTAACTTCCTCCCTGCATACATTCGCAAATTCCTTGTAATCTCCTAAGTAGCCTGTCCTTTCTTCCAGAGGACATAGACTCTCTTTTTCTTCTGGAGTCTCAACAATAGTTCTCAGATTATCCATATCAATCTTCTTCCCCTATGGCTTGCCTTATGACATTCAGGGACAGCCTGTTCTTGTGCCTTTAGGATTTCCATCTTGAGGAGTGTCCAGGCTTCCTGAACCCCTTTACTTAAGGAGTAACTCCCAAGGGACCCATGGTACAAGCATCCTGAACAGGTCAAAGTCCACCGTCTTGAAGTTCAAGATAGCAGTTTTGCTAATCTCCTTTCTGATATCTCCCAGAATAGAGAATTCTACAATTTCATGGTTGCTCTGCCCAAGACAGTCCCCAGCCTTCACATCTCCCAGCAGTCATTCTCTGTTAGTAAAGAGCAGTTCTAGCAGGGCACCACCCCTTGTAGGCTCTTCTACCAGTTGCATAAGGAAGCTATCTTCAACACACTCTAGAAACCTCTTGGGCTGCTTCCTCTGTGCTGTATTATACTGCCAACATGTATCAGGGAAATTGAAGTCTCCCACGAGAACAGGTGCTGGCAATCACACAACTTCCACAAGCTGCTCATAGAATGCCTCATCCATCTCTTCATTTTAATTATAAAAGACCCCCACCCCTACAGGCCTTCCCCCTGATCCTTACCCACAGACACTCAGATTTATCATTCCCAACCCCAAGCTCTTCAACATAAAAACAGTCTTTAATAAAAAGGACTACACCACCACCCTTCTTTCCTCATCTATCCCTTCTGAAGAGCTTGTAGCCATCCATCAAAGCATCAAAGACTCCAGTCATGGGAGTGGTCCCACCATGTTTCAGTAATAGCAACTACGTCATAGTTAGCCTGCCACACAATAGCTTCTAACTCCTCCCGCTTGCTGCCCATGCTGTGTGTATTAGCGTAGACTCATTTCAGCCGAGTCCTCTGCCTAACCCTCTAACAGCTCAAGCACTGTTCCCCTGGGCTCATATCTTGTGAGGCCTCTTTTGTCCCCTTCCCCTGTCATAGCCAGTTTAAAACTCTTTCGATATGCCCTGCTAGCTTCTGCATTAGGATTTGTTGCCCCCTTTGAAATATGTGGGTTCCATGATGAACAGGACAGGGGCCGAGTAAACTGCCCCATGATCAAAAAACTCAAAGTTTCTGGCTCAACACCAGCCTCTGAGCCAATTATTCATTCCTTATGCTTTCAAAGTCCACTCCGTGTCCCTCAGTGCCCCTGAAGGTATAGAACAAAAAATCACCTGAGTTCCCGCTCCTTGAACTAAACGCTCCAAACCCCTGAAATCTTTTTTTCATATCTCATAGCTTCTCTGATCAGTTTTATCACTTCCAACCTGAACTATGAGTAAAGGAAAATAATCATTGGACCTATCCAGCTTAGAGAATTTCTTGCATATGTCACTAACCCAGGCTCCACGAAGGCAGCACAATTCATGATGCTCAGGTCCAGTCTGCATATGGGGCCCTCCATTCCTCTGAGAAGGGAGTCACCCACCACAACCACCCTTCCTGATAGAGGCAGTCTGAAGGCATGGGGGTGACCACCTTGCCTTAGGCTCCATCGTAGGCAGATCTTCCATTGCCTCCCCACTTACCTTCCTTTCAATTTCTAGTGTCTGAAACCTGATGAGGTGCTGAAATATGTTGCCCAGAGAAGTTGTTGATGCCATATCCCAAAAGACATTCAAAGCCAGATTGGATTGAGTCTTGACCAGGAGTTTTTAGAACTTGATGATCTTTAAGATCATTTGTAGGCCAAACCATCCTATGATCCCTGGGCAGACTGTTTCAATACAGAATCACTGTGAAGAAATTCCTAACATTCAATCTAAATTTCTATTTCTGCAGCTAGCAGTAATTTCTCAGATGTTATCAGTTGTTGCCTGATAAGAGACCCCCACTATTTTCACCATTAATGTATTTTCAGAAAAATGTAGGGAGCAATGACGTCCCCTTCTGTTTCCTATTCTGAGGACTAAACAAACCCAGATATCTCAGATACTCCTCATGACACTTATCTTCCAGTTCTCTGCCATCCCTGTTGCTCTTCTCTGCACTTTCAAGCAATTTAATGGGCTTCTTGTAGTGAACACAGTATTAGAGGTGTGGTCTCACCAGTGCCAGAGGCCTATCACTCCACTAGAGCTGCTGACTGCTCAAACCAGGATGCCATTTGCCTTTGTGTACACATAGGCATACTGCTGGCTCATATTCAATCAGCTACTGTCCAGAAAGCATCCCCAGGTCCTTTTGTACCAGTAAAATTCCTTGCTGCTCTTCCCCAAGCCTATACTGCTGCATCAGTACATCCTCAAGCAGATTGGCAATCCTGCCAAACTTGGTACCTTCTGTGAACTTGAGAGTGCACTTGATTCTCTCACACAGATCATTGATAAAAATGTAAATAAATAAATAAATAAATAAATGGCCTTGTAATGAGCTGTGGGGGAATGCCAGTGGTGAGTGCCCAGCAAATGGAATGAACTCTTTGAGACCCACCGCCTAGCCAATTCCTCAAGTAGTCAATTGTACGTTTCTTCAAACCATAAGTAACCAGTTTCTCCAGGAAAATACTGTGCAAGACTATGACTGACATAAACAATACCAACACTCTCTCATCTATGAAGTGAGTTATCTTGTCACTGAAAGTGATGAGGCTAGTCAGGAAGACTTGACTTTCAGAAACCCATGCTGTCTGCTATTGTTTTGTATGTGTCGTGAGATGGAGCTCAAGATGAAGTGTTCCGTGACCTTCCTGGGTACTCAGGTCAGACTGACAGGACTGTAATTTCCTGAATCTTTCTTCCTGACCTTCTTGCAGATGGGCATCACATTCATCAATCTTCAGCCAACTAGGACTCCCCTGGTTAGTCAGGACTGCTGATAAATTATTGAAAGATGCCTGGTGAGTGCTTCTGACAGCTTCTTCAGTGCGCGTGGATAAATTCCACCTGGTCCTACAGACTTGTGAATATTCAAAACAGAAAGGAGTTAACTTACACTTTCCCACTGTATTTTAAGGACTTCATTTTTCTTCATATTTCTTCCTCTCACCATCTTACAAATTAACGGTCTGAGTATCCTGTGAACAATTGTCCTTTCTAAGAAAGACTGAGGAAAATTTTTCCGAGGAAAACTTTTTGTTTTCCTCATTGTTCACACTGTGTTGCCCCTCACATCCAATAAAAGATGGAGTCTCCTTATTTCTCCTTTTGTTACTGATGTATTTATCAAAGCATCTTTTGCTACACTAGCCAAATTGTGTTCCACCTGGGCTTTGTATCTTCTAGTTTTCTTCCTACAAAATTTGACAGCAGCTCTGTAGTCCTTCAGTTGCCTGCCCCTTCTTCCAAAGCTCCTAGCTCCCTTTTGATTCCTGAATTCCTGACTTTGTACATGATGAAGCTTCTCTGTAACTCAAAAGTCCTGAATTCACCAAAAGAAAAAGTGTGATCAAATAAAAATATCATTAAGCTAGAAACCATATGTACAAGTTACCATGACACCTAAATGGGATCTAAAATATCAGCTAGATATAGCAATAGTAACATTACCTCTTTCATAACTGGCTTTCATTTGCAACTCTGAGAAGAGCTTTACAACCATAAATAACAGCTTCAATCCATAAGTTTGGAATAGTACAATTTAGATCGTACCATATTGCCATACCAGAAGACTGGACTGGATCCTGACACTAAACTTCCTGGTTTATTGATCCTATCAATAATAGAATAGATTTCTAGTATTACTCAGCTTGTCACAAGGGTGAAAAGATTTCCATTCTTCAAAGAAATGTCATTTGTGGTGTCAAATGATGACACAATATTATATTTTCCAGATTCATTTTTTTCTGAGCACACTCTGCCAGTAGTATGGAGAATAGTGTAAAATCTTCTCATCAGCAGCCTTACAATATGAGGAAGAAACAGGTAAAGGCAAAGGAAGAAGGTCAAATGTTAAACTGCAGTGCAAAATGCAATTTAACATTTGTTCTATGCTTAGCAAACACTCCACTAATGAACCAGACCTTTATTAGAGTTCATATCACTGGTGATTAAGCTTTCTCTGACAACTCATTTCACCTCCTGCACTTTTACATTACACTTCACAATAGGAAAAAGAATAAAATATTAATGCCAACAAAGATCAGACACTTTGTGTGCTTTATTGAAACTTAACGTCTGTAATGTCTTCTAATTTGAGTAACTTGAACTTTGTTTCAGTCCCCAGAGGCTAATTCAAATATAAACACAAAATATTCTGGCAACCAAAACTTCTTAAACTACTAAATTAATCGCATACTACTAATAAGATCGTTTCCTTAAAAAAGGAGAGGAAGACAATGAAAATACACAGTACCTCATCTAGTTCCATTTCATCTGGACTTTCCCATGGTTTGATAAATTTTCCACGAGATCTCTTCAAAGGCACAATAACTATGTAATAGCCTCTGTAAAAGAAAGAGTGGGACAAAAGTGAGGCTGAAGGAAAAGGAAAATAAATTGATGGAGTATGTTTGGTCAGAGCGGCTCATAAAAACTGCCAGGCACACTGAGAAATATTCCAGCCTTCCAAACATATTTGTAAATATTCACGTTGAAAACAAATTTTGGTATAAAATATTTAACAAAAAATACTACTAATTACCTGCCTTTTCATTTGAACATAGAAATATGTGTAGGAAAATTTAATTACAGTGTCCAAAAATGACTGCATATTTGACTGCAGGTTATTATTTTGTTTGAAATACAAGACCCATGGGGCACTTGTGCCCTACCACCACTAATGTGGAAACAAACAAAAGCACGAACATAAAGGAATTCAAACCCCTAAAATGAAACATTATCGCATTTTTTCCACTTTCATGTAAAATTTGAATAGTATGGTAACATAACGTTACCATAACAAAATAAAACTACATATCATAAATTCACGCATTCCACACACAATCTCTTCACTTTTGAGTATTAACTGCCATCAGCTTTTCTTACTTAAGTATTCTTTTCACAGTCATAGATGTATGTTCTCTTTACAGCTAGGATTCACATATCCTCCCACATATTTTCCACTCCAAAGTTTTTCTGAAAATATTTTGCTTCCTCTGCACTCCTTCCTCCACTTCTGCCTATTTCTCCACCAAAAATTTCATATGTGACTAAAGAAATAGTAGAATCACAACAGCATGAAATCCAGGATGGTATAATATGCTATTCAAGACTTCAAGCACTCATTACCTCAGAGAAGGAAAGAAGTTGTTTCCAGTAATCAGATCATTAAGAACGTGTCTCTTGGTCTTGGAAAACAGTGTTTTCTATTCCTGCCTCCTTCCTCCTTTCATTTATTTATTTTTTAGTAAGTAAAGGAGGAGTCTAAAGAAAAAGACTTGTCTTACAATTAATCAAAACTTTGCCCTGTCTAAAACAACTTAGCTCGTTCATTTTAATGCTCTCTTCTTAACTAAAGCAATTTCCTTTAAAATAAATCTAACAACAATCTGTATTATTAGCTACTGTTCTAAATGCTTAAGTTCCTAACACTCAATAGCGTTAAGAAATTTGAGAAATTTATTTTTAGAAATGCAATGCTCTAACAGATGTAGATGTATAACTACATTTCTGAAATTATCTGATTGAGAGATATGACAGGACCCTAAGTAGGAATCTGTCAAGATTTCTTGTGGAGTAACAAGAGAAGTAAAAATGTTATAAATAAATATAAAATTTTAAAAGAAGTTTAATTGGGCTCTAAAATGCTTCCTCTTTAACGCAAAAAATTGCAAATGACATAAATAGCTCTTCCTTGTTGATATTTCCTCTCCCCCTCACCCCACAGGTTGTGACTTTTGTCTTCACATCTGATTTTGAGAAAATTTTTCCAGGATCTGCCTCCCAAGATGCCTTCTGTCACCATCACAGATTGCTTGCCTGCTCCAAAGTCAGGATACCAAAGGATTCAATTTCTTCAACAGTTTCTATTTAATTATTCCCTTTCCCCCAAAATTGGTTTTTATCAAACTGATGAGAAATAAACTATAAGAAGAATTTCTCAGAAATGACAAGAAGACAAACCAAACTGTAATTTAGGAGTAGACATACTGGACTCAGTGGCTGAAGTAATATTCTTCTAAACTTAATCAGGCCTGAAGAAATATTAGTAGACAGCATTTTGGAGTACTTTGAACTAAAATATCTTGTACCAATTAATAAATGGGTGCTGTTCTTAATCAGTGTCTGCAGGTCACACTTGCAGTATGCAGATGTTTTATAGTAACTCTGGGGGGTAGGAATGAAAACTGTGAAATGCTTAGGAATGTGGAAGTAGCAAACCTGTCCGTGCTGAGAATTTTCTGAAAAAAAAAAAAAACAGAGTGCCTTTTCGAAATGAATAACCTATGGAATTTCTACGTGTTGCTAATCCAAGGCTGTAGCTCTAGAAACCAGATTAAAGGATTGAAAATTCTATTTCATAATTAAAAATTTAAGGCAAATAAGTAACCTAGATTTCTCTTAATTCATGCCAGTATCAGAAGTAGTCCAATTGGCCAGTTCTAATGTAAATGCAGAAAAAGAAACAATATCTTGGGGGAATTATACAACTCCCTGCCTATAAACATATATTTTTCTTGAAGTGTTTCCAAAGTAGAATTTATTCATATTAACATCTTGAGCAACAGAGAAAGAGAAAGAAAAAGAAAAAGAAAAAGAGAAAGAGAAAAAAGAAAAAGAGAAAAAGAGAAAAAGAAAAAGAAAAAAGAAAAACATTTTTGCTTTGATGTTTCCGTTGTGAGATCCATCTGACCAAGCACATTGTGGTCTCTGCTTAAGTTTCTACTCTGTATCATCATCAAACACTAAGATAATGAAAATTACTTCTGTTCTCTTCAGTAAGTTTTAAAGACTCTTAAAACACTATTCTCAATCTCATTCATTGATCTATCTCAATTTCATATAATCTATCATCTCATCTATAATCCTTTAGGGCAAATAATTAACTGTTTCATCTTCAATGTAATTAGTATCATTGAAACATTCTCAGTGTAGGATGAATATAACCACTAGTATATAATGTACCCATAGAGGAAAAAGATCAGCAATTGTGCAATAGTTACAGTGGGGTTTGTTTTTTAAATAAAGTTGTTCTTCCCCTACAAGATCCCTATAATTTCATATATTCTAGCAAACATTGGATGTCTAAACATGACAGAATTTTCCTTTCAATATTTAGGTGCATCGGTATGCTATTCCTAGGACACATCACTATTTTTTTGTTTGCTTTTCTATATTAAGCTATATTACATATAAGAAAGACCATTGACTCATTCCACTGCTATCTCCTTCTATTGTCTGACCAACAACACTGCAAGTTGTTCCTCTGCGAATGCTCTGCCTCATAAATCTTTTTTGACTCAGTCTTCCTTAGCTGCATTTGTTACTGACCAAACCTTACTCAATCTAATACGAATGGCTACATTTTTCAGGTTTTCATCCTTTTACTTCTCAAAGTCATTTATTTCAGGATTTCACCTGCCTCAAAATTCTCACTCAGTAATGAAAAGGGAGAGCAACATTCTGAAGAGCTGCCAGTTGGAATGCACTAAAGAGAAGGCAAGTGAAATCTCCAACAATTTTTAATGATTTTCTCATTTTCTTCCCCATGTCCTTTACATTACAGATGGGATCTTTACAGACCAGCAATAACAGCAACACCCACTGATTGTACAGTGCTTCGTGTTTTCTTGCCAAATCTTCTTTGTCTTCTCTGATACCTGTTCACACAGTTCTGTCAGCTCTTAAGTCCTATTTCTTCTAAATCTCCCAGCACCTTCTCTCCCCAAATGCAACCAACCTCTACAAACTCTGTCAAATCATTCAGCCAAGTCTGCTGGTTTTTTTTTGGTTTGTTTGTTTGTTTGTTTGTTTTTTAAACAGACTAGAGGAGAGGATCTGAATTTTTTGTCTTAAAAACAAACAAACAAACAAACTTCATAATGAAATCACTTGAAATAACCTAAGTGCAATAACAGCCCTTCATAGTTCCACACAATTCTGGAATAAGATCTAGTATTTCGTGTGCAGGTGCACAAACCTACACAGATAGATTACCCATTCTGTACATGAGGATACATTTTTCTAAACACAGCTGGCTTCATTACTATTTGGAATTAACAGAGAAAAAGAAAAAACTGTCTAAGAAAAAACTAGAAACTAGAATATATTTTTTATATTTTTTGCCACTTATATATCCAACCAGAATTTACTACATACTCAGCTAAGTGATAAACTAATATTCACTGTTAGTCCAAATACTTCTAGTTCAGATAGCTGAACTTCATACTCTTAGGGGGATGAAAGCTCTGGTACACCATTATATGTCCAGTTTTTCTTAGCAGAATAGTAATAATTATCAATGCCATCAAGTCACTCACTTTATATTCTCGTTTGATGGTACTTCTGGAAGTTCCACAGTTATCATGCCATCTAAGTTCGTTTTTCCAATGAAGACTGGCTTGGTGCGAAGCACATCTGGTGCAGTCTTTGCTGTCACTCTGTGCTGAAGACCTCCAGCACTGTTCCCTCTGTTTGTCAGCACAAATGAATACGATGTCTCTGGCTTCAAGTTAGTGATCAGTTTTTGAGTGGCACGTCCATCAACCTCCATCACCATTTTGCCGTCATCATAAAGGATCTAAGTTAATGTATAAGTCCAGTGAAATTTTTGTTACTAAGGGAAGGCAACTGATATCTCAATTAATTCAGGAATTTGCCTCGCTATAAATTTAAAATGACACTCAGAGTGGCAGTTTAAGTTCTAGGATACTACTAAATTCACTACAGCAGTTAAATGTTCTTTGTATGCAGGAAAAAATGCACTATATTAATGTAGAGTAAGCACTGCTGAAGTCCAATTTCACTTACTCAGGTAGCAGTAGCTTTGCTTAAATCAACTATTTATATCAAGGCACACTTTTCTTAAAGTACCTTTCTTTACTTCAGTCATACTTCATATTCAGAAAGGTTTTAGCATCTTTTAGTTCATAAAGTACTGTTCTTTACTGGCCACTTCCTGAGATGACAAGTCATGAATAGTCACATAGAAGTGATGAAGGCCAAACTGAGATCTGGATCTAGTCTCTTTATCTTAATGCCATACTCAGTGGAGTAACAGAGTTCAAAAATAAGTTGTTACGATTTTGAGGAGATGAAAAGTCAAAAGGAATTCATGGTCATAAAAATAGTGAAAAGAAAACTATTCTCTTTTCATTGTTCAGTCTAAAATATAGATTGCAATGAACCACAAATTAGCAAGATGCTCATACCATGCATAACAAGTACCACCAATCTGACTTGGAAACATTACCACAAGAAGTTCATAGAGCCAAAGGACTTAATTTAACAGCTTGGGTCAATGTTGCTGATTAGTTTGCATTCTTCAATATTATAATACAAAAAAAAAAAAACACCAAAAACCAATACACATAATTCAGTAAAGTACTTAAGTGGTTGAATGTTAGCTTCTAATTTCCCTATTTACTTTCTATCAAATAAAAAGCAACTTACTTTGAAAGGCAAAGCTGAGTTGTAGTTTTCTGGAATCTCCCAAGACAGTAAAACTGAAGTCTTCATTACTGCTTTAACATGAAAATTTTTTGCAAACACTGCTGGAAAAAAAGGAAATTTTGTATGTAAACAATATCTTGGAGTTTAGATTTTGTCATATTTCCACAGCTACCTCGACGTATTAGCTTTCCATTTGGGTCAAAAAAACAAAATTAATTCAGTTCTCCTACCTGTTCACGTACATGTAAATATTACTTTCTAAGTCATTCTCACTCTTATCTAATGATAATCCAACATGTACCTTCTCCTTACCTGTAAAAACTGTGAAGATGTTAGCCAGAACTTGTTTGGCAAAGGACAACTGAATTCTAAGGCATCCAAAACATATTAAGATTTACATACTTTACCTTTTGTGTTTGTTGAACCTATTTTTATGAATGGGCCGGTCAGTAGTTTTATCTACAGCTTCAAAAACACTGATATCCAAAGACTGATACTCCTTTAAAGGTCAACGCCATAAGCAGACAAATCCTACCTTGATCCACGGGTAGTGTCCTGAACTGGACACTTGGACTATATGGACCAGGCCCTTTGCTTGTGTGGGCACGTACTTTTACATCATATGTGGTATCTGGTTTTAAGCCAGAAAGTGTCATAGTGGTATCAGCAGGAACAACAGGGAGTTCTACTGGCTGGTAAGCAACATTGATATCTCTGTACAAGATGGTGTATTTGGTGATAATGCCATTTCTCTCTGCCAAGAGTGGCATCTGCCAAGTTAATTGAACTGACGTAGAAGTAGAGCTTTCTGAGTGGAGATTCTGAGGAAATCCACTGGGTACTTCTTCAGGAACAGAAATCTCTTTAACCATCTCCTCCCCAAAGCCCACTTTATTTCTAGCTGACAGCCTGAAGACATAAGAAGCTCCTTTGTGAATGTCTGTAGCTGTGAAGTGATCTTCCTTTTCTGAGAACTCCATGGTTGTAAATGTATCCACATCCTTGCGACCAAATTTCAGGCGGTAACCCTGCAGCGGGCCAAAGGTGTCCACAGGAGGGTGCCACTGAATTAGAGCTGTATTCATCTGTGTGTGGCTAATCACAAGACGAGGTTTGCCTGGAACTGTAGCAGAAGGTTATTTAAAGATGATAAATAGAAACAGAACTGCACATAAAGTTATTGAGGCTAGCTTTAACGGGAATATGGATAATTTTCTCTTTCCTCATTCTTCCTTTCACAAATAGTGACCTTTGAAAGAAATAATGTCTGCCTCCTGCACCACTGAGTCATATAGTATAGTGAACTATGATAATAAAGTCATCTACTGTTCATTGTATCCTTCACTTATCATTCTAAATACTGTACTGTTCCTTTATAAATATAGAGAACATTAAGAGGCACAGGAGTTAGAAACATCAATCAAGAAGTAAAACTTCAAACAAACATCTTCTTATGAATGTCTCTGTCCTTATTTAAAAAATACAACTGTATTGCAATAAGCAGTAATTTAAATAATCCAAGGTACATATCTGTCATTCCTGTAGCAGCAGTAATAACAATAGGGAAATTAAAAGTCTGTTAATCTGTCTAACAGCGTTCTTACCACTAAAAGGTAAAATGCTGTAGGAAGAAAGTCAAATTTTTGTGCACTTGAACTGGGTTTCTTCTGGAGAAGAGCAACTATACAGGAAACTCTTTTATGCTTGCACACCAGATAGGTTCAAATCTGTAACTGAGGCCTAAGAGGTCAAACTGTTGATTCATCTTTTAAAAAGGTTCAGACAATAAATGCAGTGGGCCCATTCAATTTAGAGGACTAAATTTGCTCTTTGCTGATGTGTGACACGGTATTCTACAGCTCATATGGTATCACTTTATTTCATTAACTGTTTGTGTTCTGCTATATAATTATGAACAAACAAACAATTATTTATATTTGTTTTCATATGTATATATTAATGAAATATTTCTATTTTAAAAATATGTTTCTATTACAATTAAATATTTGATGATGGAGCAAATCCATTAGTATACAGATATTTCTTGTTCACTGAGTGCCAATATCTAACAGGTCAAGAAATACGAGTGGTTTTTAGTAGTACTGCCACGATAATAGTGTTCCATGATGACTAATGATTTTAAAGAACATTTGAATCTTTCTCATGTGAATGCAATTGTTGCACCACGAGTTCTGATTCCCACATTAGACATTAAAACTTTTTTTTGAGAGTGTAATTATTTTTAAGAGTCTGATTTGCTTGAATGTCAGAGAACTAATGTCAGAACTTCTGACTTCCACTCCAAAATTTATTAGGAGCAAGGACAGAAGAATGGCATAGCATGGCTTGAGAAAAATATCTTTCCTCATTATATCTAAAATTGATGCTGACATTGCTTCTACTTGATCTTGAATTCTAGCTAGTTTTTTACAAATTTTCCAAATACCCTTCCTTTTAAATGCCTAACCCACCTGCAGATACACTCCTAGAAATTTTTCACTTCCATTAAATAAAACTCTGTCCAGTTCTACTATATTTTATTATGAGCCTTCATTGAACAAAGGAAAGGCTATGAAGGATGTTAATAGGCTATATTTGTCTCTGCAGTAGAACTATTATTGAAACTACTGCAGTATACAAAAGAGAACAAGAGTCCACATATAGAATATCTCGTTCAGCTTTCTATAAGAAACAATACTGAAAGTTGAGATTTATTAATGTGATACATTGCCTTTATTTCCTCTCCCCACAGTGGTGGATCTTAAAGTTAATTTTTACTTTGATAGTATGTATAGATAAAGAAATTAATGCTTGCTCAGAAGATACAAAGAACATTAAAACGCACGCTATGATTTAAGTAGTAAATAACAATGTACACATTTTTGAAAATTTTAATATGAAGCCTATATGATTCTGAGAAGTATATGATCTTTATCATAGAATTGATAGACAGAACTCTGAGAATGACATGAACTTGTTGAAATGAGACCAGAGGAGGGTTATGAAGATGATCAGATGGCTAGAGCAGGCTGAGAGTTAGGATTATTCAGCCTGGTGAAAAGAAGGCTGCTCTTGTAGCAATCTTCCAGTAGTTAAAGGGTACCCACAAGAAAGCAGGAGAGGGGCTTTTTGCACGGCCATGTAGTGATAGGACAATGTGTAGAGAGTAGATTTAGATTAGATATAAGAATTATATTCATCACTCTGGTGATGGGAAGCACTGGAACACATTGCCCAGACAATTTGTAGATTCCTCAGTACTGTAGATGTTTAAGGCCAGGTTGAATGGGAGTCTGAACAAACAAATCTGGAGGAAGGCGTCCCTGTTCAGGGCAGCAGAATGGGAACAGATCTTTATGGTTCCTTCCAACTCAAATTATTCTATGATTAAGAAAGAAAATATTTTGATCTCTTTTTTTTATTCCTTGATAACATGCAGTTAGTATCTTCTTTAAGTAGAAACATTTGTGAATGTCTTGTGAGAAAAATGCAGGATTCTGTACAATCTTACTTATAAAAGTGTCATGAAATTGCCTTGTCTTGAAATTTCTTCGGATTACAATCCCTGAATTTGCAAAAAATTCTAAATGAAGTTAATGTCCATTAAAAATATATTTTCAGACTTACTGAAGTAAACCTTCATAACTATGTAGCAAGTTGCCACCCAAATCACAGTCATATCCATCCATCCATATCACTGTTATTACATTAGCTTGTTGTGACAGCATAGTACTGCCATTAGAGGAATATTCAAGCTGCCTTTCATAAAGTAAGATAATAGCTTGTTTCCATTAGCTGCTATGCTCTATGCCAACTGTCTCCATGAATATTTCCTCCTCTTTCACACACACACACACACACACACACACACACAAATGAGGCAGAAAAAGGAACTGTGATCTTTTTGAAACACTGATATTTTACAGATCACAGAATCACAGAATTGTAGGGGTTGAAAGGGACCTCTAGAGATCATCGAGACCAACCCCCATGCCAAAGCAGGTTCCCTACACCAGGTCGCACAGGTAGGCATCCAGGCGAGACTTGAATATCTCCAAAGGAGACTCCACCACCTCCCTGGGCAGCCTGTTCCAGTGCTCCGTCACCCTCACCGTAAAGAAGTTCTTGCGCACATTTATGCGGAACTTCCTATGCTGCAGCTTATGTCCATTTCCCCTTGTCCTGTCTCCACGTGCCACTGAAAAGAGACTGGCCTCACCACTATGGCCCCCACACCTCAGATATTTATAAACGTGGATTAGATCCCCTCTCAGTTGTCTTTTCTCAAGGCTAAATAGACCCAGTTCACTCAGCCTTTCTTCATAGGAGAGATGCCCCAGGCCCTTCACCATTTTTGTGGCTCTCCTCTGGACTCTTTCCATGTCTTTAGTCCGTCTTTTTTGTACTGGGGAGCCCAGAACTGGACACAGTACTCGGGATGAGGCCTTACCAGGGCAGAGTAGAGGAGAAGGATCACCTCCCTTGACGTGCTGGACACGCTCTTTTTAGAATTTATTTTCTTTTTCAAGACTGTTGTGCAGTATAGAGAGCAAATTTTACATAATGGGCAAGAAGTTGCATTATGAGACTCAAATTTAAAGTTTGAATTAATTGTCCAGGAAAAAACTGTGTGATATCACTGATAAGTAAGTCATATCTTCTTTGTTGTCATTATCTTGTAAATAATATCAAATTTTCACTAATAATTTTAGATTTCCTAGTATGTTCAGTAATATTTTTTCTTTCATTCAGTTTTTAATACCATGACAAGAAAATGAATAGAAGATAAAAACACACTTTGCAATGAAAATATTAAGAGCTCTCTTAACTTTACTAATAACTGCAGTTACCATAATGTAGATATTTACATTCAGTGACTTTTTCCTGTCTAATAATGAAAATTTATATTACTGATCAGGATCAGATGAATAGTTAGTTTTTATCTGAATAACTGCTTTTAAGTCTTGAATAATAAGCTTGTCCGGTAAACATTTAAACACATATTCACCTTTCATATATACTATATATTTATACATCTGCACATGATTTATACTTTTAAAACTAGACTAGAAAGTTAGACCCGTCACATTTTTATTTTAATATGTAAACATATAATTTTTAGGGAAAAAAAAAAGAAGTAAAAATAAAATGGAATCTGAAAAAGGAGATTTTACTTCAAGTCCACAAGCCCCGATATTAATGCATTATTCCTTCTGTGTGATGAATTATCACAGAAAGCAAGTGAGCTAGAAATTCTTTGACTGTATGTAATATTTCACTTTTCAATTATCTACGTTTGAATTTTCAATACAATGTGGGATCAACCACAGCAGGTTGTAACAACAAAGATGCTGATATAAACTAGAAGATAGGAAGGAGAAAAACGGTAACTAGCTTTTACTTCAGAAACAAGAAATAGGGATTACTTATCCACAAGGTGAAACAAATGGCAAGAACAGTGTAACATGACTGACATTTAAAAGTATGTCTGATTCTTGGTTTCCAGTCACTTAGTGTTCCATGGAATTTCAGGATTTGTTTAATTTTCTAAAGAAACATCAGAGATCTTACAAGAATGAACCATGAATTATCAATGAGAGGAAAATACATAGGAGTTTCAAGTTCTACAGGCGGTTTTGCAAAGCCTATACTTATGTCTATAAAGTCATGGTTAAGGTAACCGTGTTTATGTAAATTTGATACTGAATTTTAAGATTTTGGATTAAGTGCTACTTTTACTCAATCAAGTTCACATGAAATTGGGAAGTATGCATCATTATTTTCAGACCACAAGAATTCAGGAAGGAGGAGGTTTGAGTGGAAGCTTGGCACATATCAAGAGTAATGACCGGGTGTTCCAATCTGAGATGCAACTAGACTTCAAGATAGAGATTTTTTCAAGACAGATGATAAAACTGGACATAGATGTTGCTTGGATTAGTACAACATACATTTTTAAAAATGAATTTAAAGCACAAGTCACACAGTATAAAATGCAAATACACACTTCACATATTAGTATGGGCAATACTTCACTACTTAGATGCAATACAAAGAGCTCCATGTGGTTGTAATGGAATAATTCTACTAGAAAATCCACCAGATTGACACCCACAAGCTGTGAACAAAAACAGGTGACCACCACGTTAATGCTGTAGTAGCATCATTAGTCTAATCTGCTCCACAGCAAAATATTTCAATTAAAAAAAAAAAATAGTTCTTTACAAAAGAAATTCTGTCCATTCCACTTCTGGCAAATGAACAAGCTGAACCTAGCATACGGCTGAATATTTGCCACCTGTGATCAAATGCACTGTCCACAGTTGCATGATGTATTTTACCACTGTTTATTTCTCACATTGATTCTGTCTTCAGGGGTTTTCATTTATTTTCTAATTCTCTGTCTTATTAATCACATTCTTCTGAGGAAGGGAGCTACTGGCACTCAGGTTCTTTCCATGTCTTACTGATAGGCATGGCATTGCTTTCCTTACACAGATCAGGAAAGTCCTCCAAAGATTTTTCAAATACCCTTCTCAGCTCTGCATCTCTCATTTTTTTTTTCTCCAGGAAACCACCAATCAGAACAGAACAACTGCTAGAAAGCACAAATGCCACTTTTTGTCTGCTTCCTGAACTGAGAAAAAGGAGTAGGAGGACACCAGTTATGTTTTCATATAAATAAATCAGAGGTCAACTACTGAAAGAGGAAAACCTATATCTTATAAACACTTTCTACACTACAGGAAACATTCAAACCACAGTATAAAAAATAAATAAATAAGGCAAGCATAAGGATTTGCTCAGAGATTTATTAGTATATTACCTGCACCAGTAGTAGATACAAGTTTTGGCTTGCTGCGTGCTCCATCACCTTTTGTTGTGTAGGCTGTCACAGTAAAGGAGTATGTAGTGTCAGGCTGAAGTCCAGAAATTATCATTTCCTAAGAAGAAATTAAACAAGAAAAAAGTATTAAAAATTGATTGATTTCTAGGAGTGTACTGAATCTTTAAGACAATTTCTATATGATGTGCACAGCACATGCTTTGGTGCTACTGTAAGTACAAGCAAGCATTTGAGAATGTCAACAGACTGTTATGTGTAAAATAGTGCAATAATTCCCTTCCTTAAAAAATTAAAGCACACTTTTAAATAGGATGCTCCAGGTAGTTTAAGACGCAAGGTTAGTGTCTAAATGGTGTGAACAGCGAATAAGCCCTTATGAAATACATTGCCAGAGGAACCTTACTGATATTGTCAAGTGTGTACATATGTAGAAACAAAACACATTTTAACTCAGACATTTAAAGGACAGCACTGACATAGTTATAAAGTGCCTACAGAATAAGTACATTGCAGTTGTATCCATATCCATGTGGTTCAGCTGTGTAAGAAAACCTCTCTAGTCTCATAGCACTTTATTTTCAGTCTATATTGCTGGTTGGAATGTACATCTAAAGATCTCAAAGGGCTTGAGAAATAATTCAGTCTTAAAGTCTAGAAGAGCTAACTAAAACACCATAATAGGATCACTGACTAAATATGACAAATAAGAAAAAGCAGCTATAAAACAAACAACTTTTTGGCTAGTACATGCACGCACACACACATACGATGGTGACTTCAAGGCCAGCCATCTGAGATGAATGTTACAAAGGCATGCAAAGGAAGTTGAGACTCAATACTCACAATGTAAATAATTTCATATATAAATATAAAAGGACAGTATTTACAAGTAACTAAAAGGTCATAAATTCTTGACTCATCTGCTTCCAGTCTGTGACCATTAGATTACTCCTGTGCATTTTCACATGCTGAATGTATTTATGTTAAATTTCACTGCTTTCAGAGAGATGGTATATGTATTTATGAAACATAAGACTTAATATAAAGAATTATGGATCAAACTAACCACAGGACATGGATTTTTCCAGATACTGGCTATGAGCTCAGTATAGAGGTGGAAAGAACTTGGCATTTTATTTGCCATCCTTTATTAACAATGCAGGAATAACAAGCTAATGTGCAGTAGGAACAAGGAAGAAAAAAAAAAAAATAAAAAAAAAATCACACCAACAGAAATCAAATAACAGACCAAAAGAGCAACAATAACAACAAACACACCAATCCACCGCCAAAACCCTGCTCCTTAGAATCTATCTCAGAATGGAAGTGAGCCTAAAATCCAAAATCATTAATACACATTTTTCTTCTGCCAGAGGGACTCTCAAAATGATATTAGCAGGATAAAATTGCAAAATAAAATAATAATAGTAATTTAAAAAAAAAATCACCTTTTTTAAACAGTGATGAAGCTATCATCCTCATTTAAAACAAGCTGTACTTCATGGTGTAACAGAGATACGACTGCATGTAGTGCTGTCATTTAGAAGTCTGACTTGGACAGAGCAAACATGCAGAATATAGGTATAAACAATGCAGGGCTTTTGACATTAATGCTAGCATGCCTAATGCAGTTACTGAATTATCCAAAAAGAAGTTCAACTAACTTCAACCTTTAGCTACAAAAGTTACACTTCAAAATAATAGAGAAGCTTTCAATTATTTGCAATTCCAAACCAATCTGGCTTTATTATTCTAACAGCATTTTTTAAGTAGGAAATTGTGAAGCAAGGTTAGTAACAGCCTAAAAATAAGAAAACACAAACCATTTATGTGAATTTCAAGATCATGCTAATTCTCTGAACAAACAACAAAAAATCCCCACTCCTCTTGCTGAGGGGAAAAAAGAAGTGCCATACAGGAAAAAATCCGAATGTTGGTGCATGCATCTTTACACATCACAAAAGAAAAAAAATAATCATCTGAAAAATTAAAGGAGGCTACAAGCAAACAAGAAAAATATGAGATGAACAAAAAAACAAAAAACAACACTCATTTATTCTGGCCAGTCAAAAACTACTCACATGTTCAGTAGTATCATCATATTCCCACTGATTGAGAGTAAAGAACATTGGAAAGAAAAACAAAAGAAGTAAAAAGAATATGTAGCCTGTTTGAGTTAATCTTTTCTTCTTAATAGTACAATAATTAAGTAAGATGTCTGGAAAAATCGTGTAGAATTTAAGTTAATTGTGTAGACTCATGTAGAATGTGGTTAATGAAATCAGGCCAGGCATTTTTAATTCCACATCTGCTCCCCTCAAAAAACATCTATCTCTCTTTCCTTAAAAGACAGAAAAATTAATGAATCTTCTTGTATCACATATTAATATTTTATGATGGATTGTATTAGCAAAAGCCACAGAGACAAGATTAAATTCTATGTGGTTTATTTAATCACGTTACCAGACTATATGCTTTATTTTCTCCAAATTAATTCAATGCCTTATTAATAGCATAATGCCATGATTTTTTAGACTTGAAACCTAACCAGACCAAGGTCGTATACAGTCAAGGTCTTTGCACTCTGTACAAGCCCTGATCATGTATCATAAAAATAAATGAAGGGAGGAGTACTGAAAGGAGAAAGGAGGTGACTAACTTGAATGTCAATTCATAGCCGAATTTGAATAAAAGGAACAAAGGCTATGTAATATTTGAACTCCAATATCACACCTAGACTTCCCTTCTAATATTCCAGCATTTAAAATGATTTTATACTACTGCCATGTAGAAGCTAAAATTGCAAACCGGAGCAAGAAAAGAGAGAACTAAAGTACAGAATGATTTTTTATTCTGTCTCCTCTCTCTTTTCTCTTCCTACTTTCAAAATCATTTCCATCTTTCTCCTCACTGAATTTAATCTGCAAGAACATTAAATTTTGAGAAATAGATTTACATTTTATATAAGTACATTAAGTAGAGATAGGTACATTAAGATAGATTGATAGGGAGGCAAATGATTAATAATGGCTTTTGGGAATTGAGATAACACTTAAAGAATTGTCTTGGCAGCAAAATGGTGTGCACACAAGACCCGATCTCAAAGTGGTGCTACAAAGCTAAAAATCAGAACTAAGCCTATAAGAAAAAATGAGAAAACAACAACAAAAGAAGCCAAAATAAATTTATATATTCAAATGAAAGAGTAGAATTTTTCTCTTTATGCTAAATTTCTTAATTTCTTAGGATCTGCAGTCCTTAAATTGACCTAGTTGCAAGAGGTATAATGGTTTCCATACTGACTTGTAACTCCAGTGCTAGAAGCCTTGGAAACTTTCAGTTTGAGTAACAGCATATTCCAATCAGTGAAACTCTATTGCTGACAATATTAAAGCTTAATGTTATCAGACTTCCATCATGTCTTATAATTTATAAAACAGATATGCAATTTCACATATCAAACCTATTAATATGAATACTGACAAACATAAATACCTCACTGCTTTTTAAGGTCACAAAAATAAATTCATTTCTTCTGAACTGTGTGATAAGGTATACACAATTATGATAGAAATACAATAGTAGTGGTTTAAGAAAGGTAGAGATTTGGCTCTAGGCTCTCCATATAAATAAATAAATAGTGGGTGGTTTAATCAGTGCAAATTTTGTTCCATTGGCTGTGACCTGCCCAAATACTTCTGTCTGTACAGCTCTAAGCATAGCTATAAGAAGTCCCAAGGCTTATGGGAACCAGCAGAATGACATAGCTTCGGGTATATGCCTGTACAAAAGGGTGACTATGTTTAGTCTAAGAATCTTTAAATGTAAATATTTTGGAAAGAGATGAGATGAAAAAAATGTAGCTAGTAGAATAAAATATGGAAAGATCTAAATAGCTGTTTAGAAAACTGAAAGTATTCATTACAACACTTAAAATATGTGATGCTCTAGTTACCTGTGCATCAGCCAGCATGATGTCCTTCAGCATGGGCTGACCCCTTGGCTCTCCATTTTCCATTCTTACATAGTGGACCTGGTATCCTCGGATCTGACCATGCTGCTTATTGGGTACAGGTGAGCGCCATGACACTTTAACAGCAGTAGAGTTGACAGCCTCTACCTCGACTTTGCGAGGAGGACCACTAGGAACTGGAACAACATCATTGGATAAAGCAAAATTACAGGCACCTGTCCCACCCATGACTTTTGCCTTTTTTTTTTTTTTTTTTTTTTTTTTTTAAGGGAGTAGACTCACTATGTTTTCTCTGAAGAATACAAATGGTTCAAATGGTTCAGCAAATATAAATGTTCAATCAATCTGCTCTACCTTTTAGTGAAAAGACCAAAAAACATGACTGATGCAAAAAAATGGAAGAAAAAAGAGTATTAGAGAAATAGAAAAACATGTAAAAATGCACAAAAGCCAAGGAAGATGCTTTGAGAATCAAAGCATTACATTACAAAGAGGTATTGCAATCACTGAAATAATAACAATAATAAAAACACAAAAGATTTCCAAAAAAGTTTCCCTTAGATTTGTTTGACCAGATCTTTTTTTTGTTTGCTTGCTTTTTTCCTTTTTTCTTTTTTTTCTTTTTTTTCTTTCTTTTTTTTTTTCAGTAGTATAAAAAGGAGGTTGATAATAAGGCTGTCTTCTGTCATTTCAAAGCATAGAAGAAAACAAAACGTGGAGCATCAGCTTTTTGTGATAAAAAACAAAGCAAAACAACAACAAAAAAAAAAAAGGGAAAAAAAGTTAAAAAGAAAAAACCTAAACAAAAAAAAAAAAAAGAAATTAAAAGTCAAAAATTACAAGACAGAAGAAGAAAGCAGTTAAAAATACATGAAGAACATTTTGGACATTTTTAAAAACAACGGTAAAATTGAGGAAAAGGTAGGAAGACTTTTCCCCTATGTTATTTTAACTTTGAAAGAGGAGAACGACGAACATGTAAGGGCTCAAAAGGTCAGTAGAGTCACTCCATAGACAAAAAAGTTGTTTTCTTTTGAAAAGTAAAAATACCATGGAAATAAATGAAGCACAAGTCTTTGTTTGAAAATTAACCCTGCAAATTGTGATAACATCTCTGATTTGAGGAAAAAGTAGCAAAAAGTACTGTTAGGTTATTTAAAATATAGCAGATCGAGAGAGGTGCAAACTCATGTAGAGGAGGCAACATACCATCTTCATCTGTGCGAATCAATACTGCTAAGCTCTCTGGGCCAGGTCCAACATCAGTGTGGGCGGTTACAGAGATCCGGTACTCAGTCCATTTTTCCAGCTGTTCCAAAAGGTATTGGGTACTGTCCGAGGAAATTCCCAAAATTTCATGGGGTTTGACATCTTCTCCATCAATCTCAATGTACTTGATGGAGTATGCAGTGATAATGCCATTCTGGTTTTCCACTGGTGGAGGTTTCCAACTTACCAAAATGCTAGTGGAGCTGGGACTTGTGCAACTAATGTCTTGAGGAGGAGCTGATGGCTCTGGTTTCAGTAGTGGGTTAAAGGAGGATTTGAGTGAAAGGATAGAAGTGATTGAAAAAAAATGAACAAAGGAAAAAATAAAAATAAAAATAAATAAACAACAACAAAATGAAAGTAAAGACTAAACAGAAAAAAAAGAGTAGAAACTTAAAAAGCAAAATATCAGATAATCATATGCACCTTGGCTTATTAACATGAGTAAACAGAAAATGAATAGACTAATTAAATAGTGAAAAAGCATGTAGGGGAAATATATGACAACGAAACCTCAAAATAACATTACCTACCTGTATTAAAATTCCTCTTGAAATAAAACAAAAACGTGACACTTCTATGTCTACTTATCTATCATTGTAAACAATGCAATTAGTGCAAGTTACAATATTTTAAATTATACGTTTTATATGTTTATTTACAAATTTTGGATGTATTGCCTTTAAGTGGGCTTTCTTTCTATGAGAATGTTTAGCTTCTTACAGAATGCATTTTAACTTGCAATAATTGCTAGAAATTACCCCCAAACATTTCTTGTAGCCTCCCCACTATCATAAACAAATGATTCTGTTTTACTTATTGACATTTTTACTCACTGAGTCTGCCTGACACATATTAACAACAAATGACATTTGAGTTGAAAGTATACTAGAAACATGCACTCAAAAGAAGATGAAAAAGTCTTAGTCAAAGATTTACCTACCAGGAACAGTGTCACGCTTGCTGATTCTGACTTTAACTTTTACTTACCATAGATCAGCTGTAAGCTTTATTTTTTTTTTTACTCCTCTTGGACACACCTTTGCTAGCAAAGAATAAATCCTACCAGTAATATAGGTTATTCTATGGGAAAAACAGATATCTGGACCCAGACACTGTGTCAAGAAAGCAGGTATTAATTTTACAAAGAGAGTTCACAACCTTGAGAGCCTCTTCTGTATTTCTGTCTTCTCTCTTGTATGGAAAACAAAGATTTTGTATGTGAGATCTGTATAAATGTTTTATTTATTTATTTATTTATCTTTTTATCTACTATTTTGTTCCCATTTCTAAAGGGGGAAGAGAAACAAATGTAATTTTGGTATTTATGCCAGGCACATCAAATAGATTAAAGTAATACAGAAAGCTTAGGACCCTGCTGTGACCTATCACATTTACAGATATATATTTCAGTTCCCTACAGTTCTTTTTACAGGGATCAATGGCTTTTTACTCAGTATGATACTCTGTTCTTCTGAAGGAAAATCGAGAGGGAACATGTCAGTATTTCAACTAACTAAAGGAGATGGATAGAGGAACAAAAAGGGAATTAGAGAATTTTTTGTTTGTTTGTTTTTCTTTTTTTAATTTTATCCAATTTAAGTTATAAAGTATTCAAAACATATTCATCCATTTTTGCCATGAATTTTTAAAGGAACTAAAATGGAAGCAAAATGTTCCTTTAGGATTCTACATGATAATAAATCCCTATAGCATCTTTCTCAAAATTGACAAAATGAATGGCGGTAAAGTATTTTGGTGAACACTGCTAATGAACTCATAGAATTTATCAATTTTTAACCCTTGTTATTCTGCAAAATGCAAAGTATTGCTCTAATGTAACAGGATAATCTATAGACTACCTGTATAAACAGTTTTATTAAAATGTATTTATTCTTATAATATGCAATGTTTAGACTTGTTGAAATCTTTTTAGAAGATAACAAGGGTCTGCTTATAGACTACTGAAATCAATTAAATTTTATTAGCATCTGAAGGAATAAAGGCTCTGTATTGTTGTATTTCAGAAGGGAAAAATGGCAATGTGTTTAAATATAAAACTTGCATCCATGGCCTTCAAATGTTTAATCTCCATGCACAGTTTACACACCCTTCTCCTATTAAAAAGAATGAAAATTCTAAGCTGAAATGAGCACAGGAATAAATAAATACCCTTTTCTGCAGCAGACTATTGATTTTGGATTATTGAAGTCAAAATAGGCATTGACCCTAACTCTAAAACTAGTTTCATGCTATGTAATATTTTTATACGTTTATTCAAAATGCCTTAGAAATACTTCAGAATAACACTTCCCTTTGGTTAAATTTAAGATATACGGCACTACATCTCTTGTTACATTAATTATCATTAATAACACTAACAAATAATGTTGGAGTGATCATATCTGTCACAGAATACATTTTTTTAAAAAAATCATAGAAACATATGTAGCAGAAGCATAGATTATCCTGTAAAACTAGCACTTCTGGAAATCATCCCTATGTACCTCATAGTTTTACTTGAGTATTAATTTAAATATGGAAAAATGCATGTATAATTCTAATGTTTTGCACTGCATTTGCACCGACCCTACTGACATTTTTTCCATAAGCATCCACTTAAATAAATAAATAGATAAATAAATAAATAAATAAATAAATAAATGAAAATTTCTACTAGTGTAAATAATGAATGAACATTAAAAAAAAGCCCTGATAATAAATATCTAATTTTAACTCAGGAAGAGTAGCTACTATAGCAGTTATGAGGAAATTTTGATACACTCAGCAGCACCCTACAACTATAAGGATTTGCTCCAGGAGCAACATATTATTATAGGAAACATACATTGTGAGTGGCCATGTGGAATTTTATGAGAGGAGGATTGTTATCTACCCCTATTATCTACACTTACTCCATGCTAAAACATCATCCCATTATTCCCATTATAACATGAAAACAAAGGTAATTATGACAGTATAGTATTGTATCCCTTAATACTGTGTTTCCTTAAGTCTTTACAGTCTTTTTCTATAGTTATTGAAAAATCACACACATCTTAAATTGATCACAATATTTTAAGTATTCTGTTGTATTAAGAACTGGGAATGCTACATTTTTTATCATTACACTTTCTTCTCTTGCTATCTTACTGGGTTACTTAGACAAACATCTTCAACAGATATAACAGGATAAAGTTAGCAAGGAAAGACACCTACTTGACTGCATGGTTCTTGCTGAGATTTCTGCTGTTGAAGCACCAAGTCCCTGTGGAGAACGTGCTGCTAGACGAAACAAGTACAGGCTGTTTGGCTTCAGGCCTTGGAGACGATAAGATGTAGTAGGTTCCGTGGAAACCCGTTGCTAAAGGGAAGTAATAAGATAGTTGAATGTCTAACATGATTTTCACAGAATCCCAGAATAATTTGAGTTAAAGGACATCTAGTCCAACTTCTGCAATGAAGAGGGACATAGGTCAGGTTGCTCAGATGCCATCCAGATTGACTGTATGTTTTCAGGAACGGGGCATAATCCATCTGTCTAGGCAACCTGTTCCAGGATCTCACGACCGTTATTGTAAAAGACTTTTTTCTTGTATCCAAACAAAAACTAACCTTTTTGCTTTGAAACCATTTCCCCTTCTCCTATAATAACAGATTCTAATAAAGAATCTGTTCCTTCTTCCATATAGCTCCCCTTCAGATACTGAAAGGCTGCTATCATTTGTCCCCAGGGTGCCCTCTCCATTCTTTTCTAAAGGCTGAACAGCCCCAGGTCTTTCAGCCTGTTTTTGTTGGGGAGGTGTTCCATCCCATGGACCCTCTGGACATTCTCCAACAGGTCCATATGTCTCTTGCATTGAGATTCCACATCTGCATGCAGTACGCCTGTATGGTCTCACCAGAGCAGAGCAAAGGGGCAGGATCACCTCCTTCAACCTGCTGGTCATAATTCTTTTGGTGCATCCCAGGATATGGTTGGCTTTCTGGGCTGCAAGGGCACTTCACTGGCTTATGTCCAGCAGCCCATCCACCATATCCCTTCATACTTTCCATAAATAACTTTTCAGTCAGAAATTCTGAATTATGTATAGATATATATATATTTATAAATGTTACTATACTCTGACTATAACCTCTATAGTAACATTTTAACATACACATTCAAGGAAAAATTATCAGAACAAAACCAAACTAAAGAGAACAAAAAAAGGGTATGCTGCTTTTAAAAATAATATATATTTTAAAGCAGGTAGCTTAATGGATTAAATTCTATACATAAATATTGTTTAACTATTTTTTCCAAAGCATAGAAGGCTATCAGTTCAATAATACAGCAAACATAACATGGAAGTCCTGTATGACGTGAACTACAGGGACTTGTTTTGAGAGTAATCTTTGATTTAAGGACAACCAATAGTAAAATTTGTGTTCAAAATTTTAGGAAGAGAATCAATCTACAGGGTAATTCTTCTAAAAGGGACACCTAAACAGGTATCTATTTGGAGGATTAATATGCATCTGTCTCCCCCATAGAAATGCTTATGCTCACATTTATTTATTCACTTTTTATATGTGGAGCTGTCATCAACATAGGCTCAGCTGAAGTATCAGCAATGAGGGGATGATGTAGAAGAAATCAGTGTTGCTAACATTCTCCTTCTACCTTCTGAGGCTGACATCTGTGACACCCCCAGCACAGAGGCACTCAAAAATCTTTACAAAATAATGGTTTAGAAAAATTCCATAGTAACTATAAAACTTTAGAAGGAAAACATTTTATTCTCAAAGATTGCTTAAACAACATTTGAAAGCACCATATACGATGACAAAGAGAAATGGATATTATCTAGAGAAGAAAATAGACTAATCCTTCAGGATTTTATGTCAAATTATTAACAAGAATTTAAAATATTCTTGATATTTTCACTTACCTCCTCCCCATGCTCCCCGTCTTTGTAAACCAATTCATAGCTGGAAATAGTATCAGAACGTGGAGGTGTCCAGGAAAGTAATATGCTTGTTTCAGACTCAGGCTCTGCCTTGAAGTTCAGTGGCTGACCAGGGACTAGAGAAAAAGAGTTTAGCAGTGTTGCCAGCTGTTGTGGCAGCTTTTTTTTTTTTTTTTTTAAGTAGTTGTTGCTGTTGTTGTTTGTTTCTATTTAAATACATATTGTTAAAATTCTTTAAAATAATAATTCACACAAAATTATAATTGAATTTACTGAACTTAATAAAAAATTAATCTGAACTCAGAAGAGAACTACAAGTTTAATTTCCTTATTACAAATTGCTATGGATTTCAAACAAATGCTTCACAGTTCAAATAATGCACAGAAAGCTGAAGCCTAGTATTGAATATCATTAAATTAACTCCTGTATGAAATGGGAAATACATGTAATATGTGTAAGCATTAAAACACGTATGTATATATAAAAAAGGCATATATGAGAAATGCTGGTCTTAGAGAAGATGGGATAGAAAACAGCATTAAAACAATTACATGTGTTAACTCACAAATAACTGACAAGTATTGCTGAACAAGTATTGTTCTTTAAGTACACTGAATGCTTTTACAATCAGAGAAGTCACAACTTACTGAAAAGATCTTGAGTAGTGTTCTTTTTAAGTGACATATTTGCACACTTGTAATGATTGGTATTTTTATAATATAGCTGGATTTCTAGAGATATTTTATTTGCGAGAACAAAATTACAACTTTGATTCTCTAAGTAAAGAATATCTTCAGTTTTTAAGCCTTGTGTAATGGTTGCAGAAACTACTTCCCTCATTTGCTGCTGAAAATTTATGCCAAATAACAGTGACTGGGAAAAGGAGGTAAAATATATCCTGTAATTGGAATATATACAATCATTTTGGCATATAACTTCTAAAATATTAGTTCCAGTTAATATTGATGTTGTTAATGCATGAAACAATCTTCATCAGCATATCTATCTTTTCAAAAATAAAATGCAGCATGCTCTCATTTTAAAAGGAAAGAATATCAGATGTGATGCTTAGAAAGAACAGGTATGACAAGTATGATATGATAATAATTGTCTTGTTAACACTTTTCAGGGTAGAATTTTATTATAATAGTACAAGTATGCTTGTAATGTACAATAAGAGACTTAAAAATACCATGAAGAAAATTGTAAAAATAACTTACGACTATAATTATTTTCCCCAGACTTCTACACAACATAATTCTGTAAATAACAGAATCTTTGTGTATGCTAGGAGAGGTCTGATATCTAATCTTTAAACAGAGAAATAAAATGTTTGTATAAAGTGCATAGTCAGGCTGCGTGGATTTTGTGATGTCTTACCACTGATATTTATATTTCTTTTAGAAAAAAAGACAAAATAGAGAAAGAAATGTGTAGAATAACGTTGCCTATTTCTGAAGGAATGAGTGAGGGTAAGAAGAAAAGCTCTTTACAGCAAGAAAGATGCATAGGAGTAACGTAATTTTTCTAAAACTTAGCTTGTATAAAAAGGTAAAAAAAAACCTTTGCCTCATAAAAGGCCACAAAACTTCGAACAACGGCTTATGTTTTATGTGTCACGATATTTTTCTTGTGCTTTACATTTCCATTAATTATTGTGAGGAGAAGATGGAGGGCACAAGTGCCAAGTTTGAATTGAGCTGGGGAAGGGAACACTCAGTGCACTCAAGGGGCATCCTGCTCTTTAGAGGGAGATGGAAAATGAGGAGGAAGTGGTGGATGGAATGATGAGAATTCAGCAATATTGAGGCTGAGCACTGGAAAAGCAGAGATCTTGTAGGGATGGAGAGTAGGACTAATGGCGAACACTGGAGGAGCTCATGGTTTTCGGACCTACATGCTGAGCAGTATCCAGTCATGCACCTGGCCAGCAACATGAGACAGAACTGCACAAGTTGGTGTGAGTGGGATACAGCCCTGACTACCAGGGAAGAGAAGGGGCTGTCGCCTTTATTCAGGTTCATTAAACCCCATCTAGGTACTGCATCCAGTTTGGGGCCTCCAATAGAGGAAGAATTTCTATAAACATGGCCAAGTTCAATGAGCAGTCAGAAAGGAGAGAGTGTGGGACTGTGGCTCACCCAACTGGGAGAAAAGGCAGCTTCAGGGGTACCCAGAGGCAGCTCTAACATCATCAGAAGGAAATGGTGCTAGCAGGAGATGATGCTAGGCTCTGCACATGGTGTCTGGCAACAGCATGAGAGGCAGTGGCACAAGATGAGATGTGAGAGGCTCAGACTGGAGCAGAGGAATAACCTTTTTCCCCAGTAAGACTGTCTGGCTGTGGAGATGGGATTTTTGCAGGCCAGGCTGTCTCAGGCGTGAGGCATTTCATGAAATGTTCTCTGGCTCTTGCTGAGCCTGCTGGGCTGGAGACCTTTCCTTTTGCCAGCATCAGCAGGACCCTGTGATACTGCAATCTGTGTATGGAAACATGAACTGTAGAACATAGGCAGGAACTATAAATGACCAGTAGGGTGACCCATATGATAGCTGCTACCATTAATTATGATAATAAATAAAGCAGCAAATGGAGAATAAAGGTTATTTCTTCTCTCTCTGCAGTAATATATTTTAAGAGATTCATCCTCCCAGACTTGCTTTCAAATACAACTTTTTCAAACTGGACATCGCTTGAAGACAAATGAACTTTCCAAAAAACTGGTGAAAAAATATCTTGATGTAAAACTTGAAAAAGAATCCCAGATATTTTACAGCCACAGTTATGCAAATCTGAAATTGAAAACACTAGATAGGGAAGAGAGGGAAGAAGGAAAATGAATACAAAGGTAAAATAAACTTTTTCACGAATAACCACTTTTAGGGAAACTAATACTCAAAAAAATAAAAGTAGAAGATAGAAAAGTGGAATAATAACTTTTAAACTATTAAGCTGAAGGAACTGGTACAGAAACTGAAAAATCTCTGTAAGTGGAATTTACATTATTTTTAAAATGTTTTTAATTACACAGATTAAATGGAACTTTCCATATTAGTGACACATGTGATGCAATCACAGAATGGGATGTTTTTGTATGAATGTTGTCTCAGCACCGATTTTTCTGCTTTGAGGTCACTTGGCTCCATAAATGCATGTTGAAGACCACAGATTTTCTTTGCAGTGAGTATACATCTTAATTCTCACTTCTTATATTAGTGAAAGAACTTGAAAATTCTGGCAAAGTAGCAGTCTTGTTACAACACAGAACTGAACCATTAATTCATTTTCCTTAAGCTAAGTTTCTGTTTGTGTGTCTTGAAAGTCAGATATTTGACTGTTCACTGCTCTTTTCAGTATGTTCAAAAACTTGGTCTTCTATAACTGTTAAGATTCCTAAACTTCCATCTACAGATGATCTTTGGTTTAAAGTTAACAGCCTGCTTTACTCTGCAATTTTCTTGTTTAAATAGACATATATTTAAGGTATACACACATTATATAGAATATTTTTTCTATTTCTCCAAAAATCCCCTACCTAATAAACTACCTCTGATTCTCCTCTCTTTCTAATTTGGGAAACAGAATAAGAACAGGATTATCTGAATTCCTTCACTAGTTATCTCCTTTTGCATGTTGAAAAAAAAAAAAGAAAATAAAAACAGACAACTTAGAGAAGCTTAGAGGAGACTGAGAGGTGGCCTCATTGTGGTCCACATCTTCCTCATGAGGGGAAGCAGAGATGGACTGATCTATTCGCTTTGGTGACAAGTAGCAGAACTAAAGAGAGACACATGAAGCTAAATTAGGAAAGGCTCAGATTGGATAGCAGAAATATGTTCTTTACTGAGAAGGCAGCTGGACACTGAAACAGGCTTCCCAGATCAGTGTTCATGGCATCAAATCTGCCAGATTGCAAGACTCATTTGGACAATATTCTTGGAAATACTGCTTAATATTAGGAAGTCCTTTGTGGAACCAGGAGTTGAAATAGTTGATCCTCACTGTCCCCTTTCAACTCAGGTTATTCTATGGCTCTATGAACTAGCTTAAAGCTCAGATTTTTTCTCTTACATGGGAGACAATGTACATTGCTGACAAAGTACATGAATTTCTGACCAGTTTGAGTAAAGAAAGGAAATATGACAAGATGCACAAAAACTGTGTACTGGGCAGACTAATGGAGACATACCAACACAGTTTTCATTTTCAGATGAATTAAAAAATAAACAGCAAGAAATATCATACTAAATCTAATATAGAAAATCCTTTATTCTAAAATTTATTGTTTGCAATTTAGTTTGCCTAAATACCTAAACAGTCCTGATTCTGTCTTTATTATATTCCTTTTATAGATAAATTCAGTGTGGAATAGGGGCACTGTTAAATGTAGATTCTGATACTGAGAGTCCCTTATGCAAAAAGGTCAGTCTTTTAGCTGTTTTCTGATTATTTAATTTTTAAAAATGGTGCCTTTTTACACTGAAGAGAACACTGACAAAAATAGCTAGAGAAAAAGACAGCTTTTCTTTCACAGTATTTAAATATGAAGGTGAAAATAAAACTTTATTTTGATGTTTGGTCTTATGATAAATATTTCCTTCTCTTCCCCTCAAAGTTTATGTTTCTAGTCAATAGTTTACACAGAAATCCAGTTTTCAATTTCAAGAGTTTCTACTGATCAGTAAAGCGAGAAGCCACCAACAGCGTCCTTTCAAAGAATCATTCTTTCCCACTAACGAACAAAAGATTCTCATGAATAGGCTTTCCTGAACAAAATTTTTTAATCCAAAAATAACCAAATTGAACCACACATAAGTGACAAGAAAGTTTTGAAGGATACTAAGATTAAGGAGGTTGCAAGTCACAGTATGAATCAGATTTTTTTTTAATTTTTTTTTTTTTTTTTTTTTTTTTTTTTGCATATTCATGCTAATATCTCCCAGAGTAATTCTGATTTCTAAGTTACATATTTATACATTACAGGCTTATGTGCTACAGAAAAAGAAAACAATCAAATTCCAATCACCATCCTATTATTATTTTCACATATGGTTCTACCAAATTCATTTATTCTGTTCATGATACATAAAAAATTTATCTGGTACATATATATTTATGTGGATGACATTCAGACTGAGAAATGAAAACAATTATATTTAGATTTAGATTACAACAAATCTGGTATGGGACATTTCTTTCTGCAGTGCTCAATAAATAGATGAATCATAGTTTTTAAAGATACACTGAACAAGAACTCTGCACTACACATTCTTATATATTTATCTCTTAGGACTTCAAAAAAATCATTTGCTTTCAAGCAAAAGTATCAGTGCTTAAAAATGCCACTTGTGTGCCACACTTTTAGTTTTGTTTCGATTTTCATCATCTCACATAAACAATGTCATGTCAAACGTGAGTTGAGACACTCTCCTGCACTCTTAACATTGTCATAATTTCTTCAATTACTTCTTCACAGAATCACAGAATTGCAGGGGTTGGAAGGGACCTTTAGAGATCATCAAGACCAACCCCCCTGCCAAAGCAGGTTCCCTACACCAGGTCGCACAGGTAGGCATCCAGGCGAAACTTGAATATCTCCAGTGAAGGAGACTCCACAACCCCCCTGGGCAGCCTGTTCCAGTGCTCCATCACCCTCACCGTAAAGAAATTCTTGTGCACATTCGTGTGCAACTTCCTATGCTGCAGCTTATGTCCATTTCCCCTTGTCCTGTCTCCATGTACCACTGAAAAGAGACTGGCCTCACCACTATGGCCCCCACACCTCAGATATCTATAAATGTGGATTAGATCCCCTCTCAGTCACCTTTTTTCAAGGCTAAATAGACCCAGTTCACTCAGCCTTTCTTCATAAGGGAGATGCTCCAGGCCCTTCACCATTTTTGTGGCTCTCCATTGGACTCTTTCCAAGAGATCCCTGTCTTTTTTTGTACTGGGGAGCCCAGAACTGGACACAGTACTCCAGATGAGGTCTTACCAGGGCAGAGTAAAGGGGGAGGATCACCTCCCTCGACCCGCTGGCCACGCTCTTTTTAATGCACCCCAGGATGCCATTGGCCTTTTTGGCCACAAGGGCACACTGCTGGCTCATGGCCAACCTGTCGTCCACCAGGACACCCAGGTCCCTCTCTGCAGAGCTCCTCTCCAGCAGCTCATCCCCCAGCCTGTACTGGTGCATGCAATTATTCCTCCCTAGGAATAATTCAAATAATTACAACAAAAATCAGAAACAAATGGGCATGTTTAATGGAAAGTTTCTTTAATGCTATAACATATAGAGTTTTTCTGAATTAACTTGAGCGAGTAATGCAACTTAGTGCAGCTGAATCTCAATGCTCAATATTTCAATTGCTTCATCCTTCCTTGGTGAAGCCGCTGACAAATTTGCTAATATAAGAATATAGGAACATGAGCTTTGAGGGGAAGAGAAGGAAATGTTTATCATAAAACCAAACATCAAAATAAATACATAAAAGTTTTATGTTTACCTTCATGTTTAAGTATAGTGAAAGCAAAGCCTTGTCTTTTTGCCTAGCTGTTTTCAGCAGCGTTCTCTTCAGTGTAAAAGGATGTAGACAAGAAGCTCACTAAACCCTATGAGTATTTTTTTTTTCTATGTGCTTTCCAAAAAGTCACATGTCAACATAAAATATAGTTCCTTAAAAATTTTACAGAGGTCAAAATTACCTAGGTCTTTGTGTAACACAGCATTAAAAAAGTGTTCAGTTGCCATTCCTTATTAAAGGTGTATTGATGTCTACTTTGAATGATTTGCATACAGACATAAATACTGTAACTGTCTTCAATTATACTTAGATGTGCTTTTTTTAAAAAAAATGAGGAATGCTACAATTCTTCAACAGAAAGCATCCTAGCAATAAAAATCCAAGAAGTATCATACAATATTTCTAGGTGACCTACAGTAACACTCAATGCAGGTTTCTCTAAACCACTAGACAAATCTTTTATTTCTTGTTGCTTTAATGAAACATGTTCTGCAGTGTAGCTCCACCAGAACTTCTCACTTCTGATTTCATAAAAATTCTTGTCAATATTATTCACTATGCTAGTTTGTCTTTTGCTAATAAAACTAATTCATAAATCTAAAACTACTGTGCAGAACTCAAACAAACTAACTTCATGCATAAAACAAGGAAATTATGATCTTGTGGGTTGCTGGCTGTATTTGTTATTATAAATAAAACTGTAAAGAAATGCCTGCACGTGCTTACATAAGGGCAGTTTTGGGTTTGGTTTGTTTTAAATGCTCTCTTGATTTATGTGTTTTCAAAACATGACCAAGTATTTGCATATGCATGCAATGCACATATATTTTAACTTTCCACGAGCAAGATTCAATAGAATGATAACATATAAGGAAGATATGTGCTTCTTGAACAAAACACACTATCTCAGTCAACTTTTCAAAGAAAGCTTTTAAAGACTACATGATAGACAGCGCTGGTACACAGGACACTGCAAAATAGAAACTGTAACATTATTTGGGATGAAGTGAAAGAAAGTGTAAGGAAAAATTTTGTCTCTTCAATGGTAACTTGCACTGTGGAATTGAGAAGTTGTTATCCAAAAGAGCTGCCCTGAAAGAACTATGTTTATTCTGCTCCCTCCTGTCCCCCTCAAATTTTGTTCACTATAGCCTTACCTCCTGTTTGAGTGATGACTTGAATGTCACTGGAAAGTGGTCCATCCCCAACAGAAGTAAAAGCAAGAACCTTCACAGAGTATGTTTTCTGGGGCACGAGATTCCCAATAGTAGTGATATGGCTGTCAGCTACATTGTGTTTCAGCCAGCTGTTGACATGTTGAGTAGGATCCATAGTATAATAAACTCTGTAACCTTGTATTTGTCCATTAGGTTCCTCAGGTTCTTCCCACTGTACCAAAATGGTGGTAGAGCTCAACATACGGGCCTGTACATTGCGTGGTGCACTTGAAGGTGCTTGCTCTGAAGTCCTTGTTGACACAGGCTCACTGGGTGGCCCTCGCCCAATGTTATTTACAGCAACTACCCGAAATTCATACTCTGAGTATGGGCTTAGTCCAGCCACACTATAGCGTGTTGTGGCAACACCATCAATTTCTTTATATGGCTCCTCAGAGTTCTTGGGCTTGTGTTGGATTATGTAGTAAGAAACTGGCTCAGGATTTCCAGAGTCCCAAGTCAATGTTATGCTTGTTGCTGTGCTTTCTGTCACCACAGGTGTTCCAGGAGGTTTAGGTAAGGCTGAAGATGAATACAAAAAATTAAAGTTAACACTGTATAACAGCAGGCATTAATTTTTACATTAACAGGTCTAAAAGTACAAACAAACAAATTAAAAAACAGGAAGAATGTAATGGAGAGAAAATGTTATTTATTCAGAGCAAGATTCTGGCAATTATGATTTTCTCCAGCAGTTTATCAGAAAAAAATCCAGGTCTGTAGTAAAAGGCTTATTAATATAAAGCCATGATACTGTCTTTTTAGACAAATCCCTAAATCATATGCAGATGAATAATCTTATAGACAGTCAGTGGACCATTGCAGTTTAATTTTCAAATATTTCTGGAGCTTCTGACATCCACTTGCTCAAGAACAAGATAACCGAACACCCAACAACTTTAAAAATCAAATGACTGTCTCTTAACTGTTTGTGCAGTTGACAAATACATGCAAGATTATTAAGTCTTTTATTTACTTTAAATGAAAGCTGAGAACTAAACATGGAAGAATAATGGAATACTGCAATTAAACTATCAGTATTAATATTATTACTGTCTGAATCTATTTTTTTGTCTTGTATTATTGATTGGTTGGAGATTTCTTAGTTTTTTCTAGTAGAATTTTTTTGCTCTGAATATGGACAATGAAATAAAAGAAAGATGAGACTATTTCCAAAAGTGTGTACTTGGGATATACCTTTGACAGTTATCTGCGCTATTGCTTCTATAACACCAAGGGTAGACATAGCAACACAAGTATAGTTTGCAGACTGCCTGACATCGTTAAGCTCAAGGACGTTTCTCCCTATTGGCATATCATCCTCAGGTGTCAAATCTTCTGCTCCTAGCATCCATTTCACATATGGCATTGGTGACCCCACTGCAACACACGTGATATTTACACTCCCGCCAGGCATGATCTCATGATTGGTGGGGGGGATCGAGAACCTTGGTGGGACCCGTCGAACTGGAACAAAACACACAA